TCAACATCATTAGGTATGCCTGATAATTATTATTTGAGCCACACATGTCAGTGGTCTATTGAAGAGGGCTGACTTAAAGAGCACGATACACGTGTTTCCTTCTTGCGATCTCGTCAGTCGGGCAGTTACCCTTTCTCGTCTTTTGCTAATCTCTGTGGGGCTCCAGTCCCCACAATAAGAGTTAGCAAATCGAAACACGAGTATCGGGCTCTATAAGTCAGCCCTCTTTGACAGACCACTGACATGCGTGGCTCAAATAATGATTATCAGGCATATTGAAATTTGAGCAGTGATCTTAAGAAAACACTCGAAACGAAAGATATCATTGGGTCTAATTGTAACACCATACCACTGCTATAAATTGATTAGATAAAAGATAGTTCTGATCTTGAATGTCTTGTATACTACTCGAGATTCTGAAGGAATTAAGTGTCGAAATACATTTGCTTTTATTGATAGGATAGGAGCAAAACACCTCACGAAGTAGATTTCTAGCGGATTATAGATGAAGACAGAAGATAAGGATGAAGATGAGGACGATATTAGAAATCGCACAAAGATTAATCCACCACTAACAAAATAAGTTCTCAATGAAAACCCAGGATCATGTGAATCAATTGAATTCATTCAACTGATAAGGAATTTAACCCCAATAAAAGTGAAAGCACAGCGGTAACCTCTGTGGTGTTGTGGAAGTGTGCGCTCACGGTAGAGGTGAATCATGGCTTCAGTTCCCGGCTAGGGTCAAACATTTTCTACCACGGATTTTCCTCAATCTGTTCTCGGATCTCAGATGATACCACCGAGATACGTCTCAACCAAAATATGCGTCATAATGGTGTGTCAGACAGAGTCCATCGATCAACAAACAACCTCTGTAGGTACAGGTGTTTAAGCGCTCAAAAGAGAGCAAATATCGAGCGTGTGAATGTGCGTTAAATGTCCAGAAATCATTGTTGGATTCATGACGACGGCATCTACGAATTCCCAGGATCAATCGAACTTTCGATTCATCGATTGATCTCGGCCTAGAGCAAAGATTCGTCTTTCTTGATGGCAACTAGGACTTAGTCAGCACAATATGGGCTGTCTAAAAGAATGTTTCGAGCCTCTCCGGTGATTTACGTACGTTTCAGCGGTCTCGCCCGCCTCATCAGAGCCTCATGTCCCACGGCTCACCCTTACTAGTAGCAGGGATGATAATTCACGTCTCTTTCCTGATCTATCTGTTAGCATTGCCCAACCATGGATTTTGAAAATCTAGTAGAGTCCGAGGGAATATTTCAAGCATTTCTGAGGTTTGGTGAGCCAATGTACGTTTTCAGCAGTCTCGTACGCCTCATGAGAGCCACATACCCTATGGCTTACCCTTGCTAATAGCAGAGATGGTAGTTCACGTATCTCGACTAACCTATCTGCTACCATCCCTGCTATTGGGGTGAACCGTAGGGCATGTGGCTCTAATGAGGCGGACGATACTGCCGAAACGTACGTAAGTCATCTGGCGTACCAATCTCGAAAAGCCTTAAAACACCCCAGACTCTTGATTTCTTGAGCAAAGCTTTGAAACAGTCGATTCAAAGGTGATATTCCGTCGCTTCGGCGACTTTACCTTCTTCAGAGCTTGAAGAGTCAGACTGATGCTATCGACTCGACCATGAGCCTCCATGATCTCATCGTATACGATGTTGAGTGGTATGCAAAACATTCGACACCGAGCAGGAGACGAACCTGTGTTTCACCACCACAGGGACGCGTGCTACTCACTACTTCACCGGGCCGCCGTCCAGCTATTACTCCAACCTTGTGATTGCTCTCATCCAGAAATACGGAATTACAACATCAGTCATTTTTGAAAGGCTTTAACCAGTCGAGTAATTCCAAAATTTGGCCCGCTCATTGATCGTTCGAAAATCGATCCTTACATACTCAAATGGTTTCGTGAGAAGTCGTCAACTTTCGTCTTCGCATCTTGCTACTTTTTCCTCATCATTGATCTCAGCACATTGAGAGCAAAAGCAACAAAAAAGAACAAGAAGAAAAAGACGAGACGCCTTGAAAATCCCATAGAATAAGAAAATTTGCCGGCAGCCCACAAGTGCATGACGAAAATTCATTGAGTCGATCGGGTCGCCGTGATGGCTACTTATCATTCCCTCGTCAGCCGCCACATTGATAGATTCGGGCGTAGAAGATTTAAGCAGTGGGATCCCTGTAAACATAACCGTTCGCAGGTGAACTTGGAAAACTCTAATCACAGCACTTTAAAGACGGACACTCCCTTTACTCCGCGTTCCCAAACGAAAATGGCAACTTTCATAAATTAGCTAAAACCACAAAACTGATAGATAAACTTTCTTCGCCTTCTTTCGTGACGGCAACTTATCTACGAGCTCTTCAGCAGCCACTCCGATAGATTGGGCGTAGAAACTTCTAATATTCAAATAGTGACATAAGTGTTTCTTAACCAATTCACTTCCGTGGACCCAAATCAATGCGACAACACACAATGCAGCGCCAGTCGTCTAGAATGCAAGCTTCCACATCTACCTTGGATGTCGTCGGATTTATTCATCTCCAGCGCTACTCCATGCTGCTTGTTTGTGGTGTTGAACAACCGCGCCTCTGGGCCTCTAGGCTCGATTGCTTAATAGTAAATAGTTCGATAAACCCGACGACACTGCTAAGAACAATGTGGAAGCATACATTCCAGACGATGGTGTTGTAATGTTGTGTGTCGTCGCATTAACTTGGGTCCATGGAAGTCAAAAGGGCTAACATATTGAAACCTTGAAGATTCAATTCCATTGAATCAGAATTCCAACGCCATGCTTATATCCTGAAAAAGATCTTTTCTCTGAAGCGCAACAGGTAAAAATAAGTTAAATTTGCACGTGTAGCAAGGCCTTTGGCCAATTCGCGTGCTTGTGCATGGGGTGGCCACGTGAACTAACGACGCCATACTTCTCTACGCGTTCATTTGCCCCAAAAATCGATGATCACCACGTCATCGAACGCGTTCGCCTCATGCGTGGGCACGTGAACTGGCCAAAGACTCCCTTGCTCACACACATGCGGCTTCAACTTATTTTACCTGGTGCGCTGCAGAGAAACGGTCTTTTCACGAAATAGAGCACAGCGTTGAAATCAAATTCGATTACGCTATCGAATGATTATTGATAGTTCTAGAGAAAGAGCTTCTGTCCGGCGAAAAAAAGGGTCTGCAACGCCAAGAAATCTCCTTCTGTAGCTACGGCCAAAAACCCCTATTTGGAAAAACCGGCGACGTGGGGCTGTAGTCTAAAGTCTCAGCTTTCGAACGGTAACTAACATTCCCACAGAAAATTCCTGTCCAGAGAATGAAGTCGGATAATCATTTGTCTCCTTATAACCGACAAGAACCTCAATGCACTATCTACGTCTATTTTGCCACTATTTCTGTTAATATATGCGAAGAAAAGAAGCAATACGGGCTTTTGGGAAATGGGAAACCTTATATGGGAATGCAACAGAATAGTTTGTTGTACGAAAAGTACATCTGAAAGCTGTACGATCGAGCTTGAGCAGGGACTTCATGTGAAATTAGATGGGAAAAAAAAACACTACACTAGTGATCTGATGGAAAAATATTGCTCGTACTATGGTCGAAAAGACCTCTGTAGAGGTCATAACAAGCCGTCCACAGATCAGAACTCCTTCCAAGCGTCAAAGCGAATGTGCTGAAGAGAAAGAAAAGCTCCTAGGGCTTCAAAAACCCATGGGCCTATACGTTACGACAGTAAAGGCACTTGTCAAGTAACATTGTTAATTTTGTAAGACGACATTTCCAACGAATTAAGAAGTATTATAGAGATTATTTCTAATATAAAGATGAGGAAAGATCGCTGGAGAGATGCAAGACGATATAGTTAGATGTTTTGAGAAGAAGAATATGGAATGACGTCAGGATGACACGTCATTTCGGAGCTCCAATGACGTCATTTATTGGCCTCATTATTTCTCAACACGTCGTCCTTCAGGGCTCTTAAATGACAATATTGTAAAGTTCCATGACGAGGTTTCTGACGTCAAGAGGTCTCATCATAGAAATTACTTGGTTGATGGAATGACAGAAAATTTTCCAGATTTCTTCGCATTTGTTAATTATCCTTCATGCACTTAAATCCTTGTTTTTACTATCGTTTAGAGCAACTCCAAGCGGTTATTTCGATACATAGTACTTATACATTTGATGGCAGAGTGATGGTAAAACGGGCATCAAAGTGCAACAGGTTAGAGTCACCTGCTTTCTGATATTACTGAGATGCGGGTTCGAGTCCCGGCTGACTCAAAAGTTTTGCACATCACTCTACATCACTGAATGAATCTATGACATCATCACCCCTCGCTAACAGCGGTTCGATAAAAAGAATTCTGCCTGAACACTTATACATTTGCTTTAAGATGAGCTGTTCTGAGAGCAAAAACACTTGAGTTCTCTGAGGGTTATCAGGGGACAAATTAAAACCGACCTCATTCGCTGGAGAGGAACTTTTCACAGGAATGTTAGTAACCATTCGAAAGCTGAGATTTCTGGCTACAGCTCCACGTCGCCGATTTTTTGGAAAACCCTTTTATAACGCTATTTAATGATTACTACTAGTCCGAAGAAAGAGCTCTGTCCGGTGAGAAATACGCGCGTCTGCGACGCAAAAAATTTTCTGTAGCAACGTCAGAAGGCCAAAATTAAAGAAATCGACGACATGGGGTTGTAGCCTGAAGTCTCAGCTTTCAAATGGTTACTTACACTTCCATGAAAAGTCCCTCTCCAGTGAATGAGGCCGGTTTTTCATTGTCCCCTTATGACCACAAAGAACCCAATTTTTTCTGCTCTCAGGACAATCTTATCTCAAAACAAAAGTACAAGAAATCATAGAGAATTCTTTTCATTTAACCGCTGTTAGCGAGAGAGAATGATGTTATAGATTTACCCTGTGATGTAAAGCGATGTGCAAAACTTATGCATCAGGCGGGGCTCGAACCCTCATCTCGCTCTATCCGGGAGCGCGAGCTCTAACCCACTGCACTACTGATGCCCGTTTTTCCATCATTCTACCATCAAATGTATAAGTGTTATATATCAAAATAACCGCAAGAAGCTGCTCTAAACGATGGTAAGAACAAAAACTCAAGTACAAGAAAAATAATCAAGAAAAACGAAAAGGTCCGGAAAATTTCTTGCCAATGAAATATTTAAGGATGAGGACGAAAATTCATCAAGACGACAAGGTGATCAATTAAGTGCCTTGAAGAGGAAAAACAGGCGGATGACGTCAGAACGACTACGCCATCATGACGTCATCTGGACGCTCCGACGTCCGTCAAGGCCTCGTCTTCTTACAATCACGTCATTCACGGCTGTCAAGAGATAGCGCTAATTATCTATGACGACATTTCTAACTAACGTTCAGAAGGTATTATCGTAGGAATTATTTCGTTAATAATAATAATAATAATAATAATAATAATTATAATTATAATTAATAATAACAATAATGTTATTGAATTTAAATTAATAACGATGGGAAAAACCCATTGATGTCGTCCTCTGGTCCCATCTTCTTGCAAATGAGTGGGTATTACGCAAAAACTTGGCCTCAGGCGGGATCTGAACTCGTCGCCTTTGCCGGGGGCGCATGCTAGCCTTACAACACCAAGGCCACCACTTTGCTACCACTCTTTATCCGATATGAGCTATCGAAGCGTCAGCAGCCAACCGTCAACGGGCTTGGTGTGGGACGCACATTCGGGCATCAAATCAAACCCAGTTGAGCTGATAGCGTTTTATCAATAGGGCATTATCTGGCTATACAACAGTGCTTGAAGAGATGCCGACTGTTAGATGTTCCAGAGGAGTTAAAGAATATAGAATGACGTCATAACGACTATGTGAGCCCGCGTCGTGACGTCATCTGGGCGCTCATCGACGTCGATTGATGGCTTCAACGTTTATCGAGAAAAGACCGAAAGAGAGAAGAGCGAGAAAGAGAGAGAGAGGGAGAGAGAGAAGGAAGAGATACAAAGGAGAGAGTGAGTGAGTGAGAAAGAACGACAAAGAGAGAGACAAAGAAGGAGAGGAGGCAGTGAATTCAAAGCGACTATGAGGAGACTATACCGTCTTGAAGTCATCTAAAAGCTCCTCTGACGTCTATGTTGACTTCGGCATTTGCAAATGTCATCGTTCCGAGTGGGCCTTGTTAGCTCACTTGGTAGAGCGTTAGACTTTTAATCTTACGGTCATGGGCTCGAGTCCACCATGGGGCTCATTCTCCTCCCCCTTCCCCTCCCCTCCCCCTTCCTCCCCCGCTTTCCCCATCGTTCCTGACCCTCCAAAAAAGTGCTTTTTCTCCAGGTTCACTTCGGTTACAGGAGGACAAATGAATAACCGACCTTATTCACTGGAGTTTTAGAGGAGTATTAGTACCCATTAGAAAGCTGAGATTTCAGGCTACAGCCTCACGTCGCCGATTTTCAGAAAACCCCTTTTTCTAACGCTGTTACCGAGAAGATTTCCCGCGTTCCAGACGCGCATCATTCTCTCCGGAAAGAGCTGTTTCTTCGAACTATTTGTTATCGTTCGATAGCCTAATCGTGCTCATTCCGACGCTGTGGTTATATCCTGAGAGGACCGTTTCTCTGCAACGCAGCAAGGTAAAGTATCACACTATCGAATGATTATTGATAGTCCAAGAAAAGAGCTCTATGTCCTGCGAGAAATGCGCGCGTGTGAAACACAAATCTTCTTCTTTCGCCGAAGCGTTTGATAGACTTTTTCAAAAAAAAAGGCCATGTATGGCACTAGCCGGAGATTTGGGCTTTCGAATGGTTACCCACACTCTTACAAAAAGTTCTTGTCCAGCGTAAGGGTATCGGCTTTTTCTTCCCGTGCTCTTCAAACGGAAAAGTACCAGTTCTGTATATCGCTCAACATTATTGCGCTGCTTCGACTACTGGAATGATTATTTGGCTACAAAAATCAGAGATACTTCCGTGAGTCATCAAAAATCCTTCTAAGGAAAAGTTACACTTGGAATATCGATTAAATGTTAAATATGGATTCTCACAAGAGACCATACAGAAAACTATTAGTGATTGGCGATGCCGAGGTGGTTGAAGAAAAGCCGATCAACAAAGTAGTATGGTGGATCTACAGTTTCTCTTGTCGAGCAAAACACGAGATGGTTCTTGTACGAACTATTTGAATAGCTGACGTTTCGATGGATTTCAGCTTCTTCAGAGTCTGGAAAGGTCAAGTTGAAACCTTTCAATATGCCTGATTATCATTTTTGAGCCATACATGTGGTCTGTTATAGGGCAACTTATGGAGCCCGCGATAAACGTTTTTCGACCTTGACAGTCTCACATCAGTCGGGCGAGTACCTATGACAGACCACATGCATGGCTCAAAAATGATAATCAGGCATATTGAAAGTTGAGCGTGGCTTTAAGATTGAAAACCTTAGGGTAGCCTACCTAACGGACAAACGAGAGAACGAAATCCGTCGAAACGTGTCAGCTGCTCAAATAGATGTATTGCAACGACCTTGTGTTTTGCTCTCCAACAGACTCACTAGCTACCGATCAATGTCGAGCTGGGTTAACCCGTTCGGGACGGTGTGTACCTCTCCAGGTACGGTATCTGAAGATCTTTTTTCACCTTACATAGATCTTCTGGTACTATTCGAGGGCTTAAATCTCAGCAATTTCAGCACTGTGCTTGTTTTCTGAAAAGGGCTTTTCACTGCGCAGTAGCGGCAAAAATAGGGTTATGTTTAACACTTGGCGCACATTTTTTGGTCTTCTACAGTCTGTAGATGGATTTCCATGAGAATTTCAATAACTATTCGACAGCATTTATCCTCTAAAATTCAAAACCCGGTTTGATTTTTAGAAAAATCTTCACATAAGCTATAAGAGCGAGAAGATCTCCCCCAGAGTGTTTTGACACGTAAGAGTTATATTTGGATCAAAGCAGATGAGCGCGTAGAGAAAATCATGGAGTACAAGAGAACACCAAAAAGTGCGGTGTTCTCTCAAAACAGAAAAATAAGCTCCAACTAAGTAACCAAAATCGCGCTGCGCGATCGATCAACTGCTGTTCCGAGCTCGTTAACCCTTTCGGGACCGTGGAAACCACGGCCTCTGGATCTCTAAGTAGTAACTCTGGACAGGGCTGCTCCACTTCCTCTGCGTCTCCTACCCCCAGAGTGCCATTGTTAGACGCAGCACGCCAGAGGTTAGAGATGCACATGAGGGGAGCAGACCGTCCAGAGCTTCCAGTTAGAAATGGAGAAGCCGTGGGTCCACGGTCGCGAAATGATTAGTAGATTGTCGCTTTAAGGAATTACGTTCATGAGTCATCTGGAAGTTTTTGAAATATCCCCAGAATATTCGGTGTCGATAAATTTTCTTGGAATCTAAAACATTATGAAATCTGCAATTATGAAACGGCGTTAGCAGAAGGAATGGCGCAGTGGTTAGTGATGCGGTGTATCGGGAAGCAAGACCCTGGTTCGATCCCCTCTCTCAGCATCTCGAGATCACAAGAAGAATCGTCTTGACCAGTATTCTTCGTCATCTATAAGGGAGCCGAAATTCTCAAGAAGCAGCCTAAGACAGGTAAAATGTTTGAAAACCTTCGTGGCTGATGCGAGAAAACCAATCGAATGCAAGAAGCGCCGGAACGGCTAAGACATAAAGGTGATGGCGAGTTGTGAGAAATAAAATCAATCGATATGACGTCACTGCGGATGACGTCATTGCCGACCAATATCGATTGATAACCAGTGAAGGCACGGTTGTGTCGACGTCATGCGACGGTGACCTACGGCCACTTTCCGGTCTCAGCGCTTGGACGATGGACAATCAATACGCGAGCACTGAAGGGAGGAACTACAATGCAACTATTCTGCCGTTGTTTTCGATTTTGTTTTTGTTTCTTTTTTGTCGTGTATATGTTTTTGAGAGATGACGTCATTGCCAGGATGACGTCATTCCCACGATGACGTCATCTCCCATTATTCTTGATAAAATCGGTCCCTACCGCTCGTTTGCTGCAATAAATACGTGTTTTTTTTTGAGTTGTGTTGATTTTCCTCTTGAATTTTTTTTCCGACCTCTCAACTGACACGTTGGTGGCTATAAATAATCTGTGGTGGGGACGTTTAAAAATATGCTAAAATATGTAAATATGCAAAATATCAATAAGAAAAATAAAAGTAAAATGGTAAAATATGTATAAACCCAGTGATGTAGAGTCGGTGTGCAAAAACGTTTGCGTCAGCCGGGAATTGAACCCAGATCTTACTCTTTCCGATGATGTTAACGTAGATAAAGCGTTGTTGTAGCGTAGAAAGAGTGGAGTGCAAAATGGGCGTCGGTGGTGCAACGGTTCAGCCATGCTCCCGGAAAGAGTGGGATCTGGGTTCGGATCCCGGCTGACGCAAACGTTTTTGCACACCACCCTACATCATTGAGTTTATTTAGAACATTGTAAAACCGTAATAGGCGGTCAAATAAAATGATTTCGGTAAAATATACAGTTTTCTTTTGAATTGAGTGCTATCACGTTGGGAACCGTCTCGGTACGTCTTCGGCTTCTTCAGAGCCGATGATCTACAAAATTCAAAATTGTGACCGGGAAAAAAATTGAGAGGTGGATGATATCTTTCCTGATTTTTCTAGTTTTTCTTCTCCTTAAAAATTTATTTGTAATGCCATGCTTGAAGGAAAGCGAGATCTATGCCGCCCAGATCATTACCGGCCACGATAAATCGCTGACAGCTACGTTATCATGACTGAAAGAAAGGAAGAGCGGACGCTTCCATGGTGCAGTGGATACCAGTGAGTCCCTAGAAAGGCTATCGTGGGTTCGAAGCCACATCGAGTCCCGAGATTTGCTCGTATCTTCAGCGTTTCCGTGGTTGCTCTATTTCACATGATATCCTGCTGTGAATGGAGGAAAAGTCGACAATATGTCCAATGATTCGCAAATTCCTCATATGTGGTCGTGCCACGAGTTGAACTCTGCGTCTCATCCTTTGCGGGGGCGACTCTTAGCCACTGCACCATCGGGATATGTACTGCTATCACTCGGGGAAGCGACAACACATAGTGATGTCAAGTAGATCAAACGGTGAATTACAGATTTCCCAAGGTCAAAGTGGCAAGCTGTTAAAAAATAAAAAGGTGCTGAAAGGTACTTTTTGGTGGAGTTTAGATGCCTGAGACATCCAAAAGCTTCGTCGCCGCTTCTCGTGGCATCAGCAGTATGGTCAGCTAGAGGTCGACTACAAGGTGGACTCGATACAAAGTATCTTCCCATGCCGGGAATCGAACCCGGGCCGCGTGGGTGAAAACCACGAATCCTAACCACTAGACCACATGGGACACGGGCCAGAGGCTGTCACGGATGCACTTCATCGATAAGTTGTCATTGTCACTGAAACACTGATCACCTTTCATGCCCAGTACCATCGTCTTCAGTCCGAAGTGGCGACTGGCGACTTATTATCCAACGATGTTGAGTGATATGCTGAACTTTGAACCTGAGGTGAGAGTCGAACCTGCGTCCCAACTCTTCGAGAGCTGCGTGCTAACCACTGCGCTGCGGCGTCTTCTTTCTGCTATCACTTTCGAGCCACTCATAGCTTCTATCTATGAATATGACAGGGACCTCTTCAATACTGCTTCATAAGGGAAATTATAAGGGGTACTTCATATGTGAAATGTCTGTGATATGGCACAATCCATGAGGTTCACTTCGAACAGGCCCAATATTCTTATTCCCTAGGTAGCGTTGTGGTCTTGACTGGTCGACCTTCCGCGGACCCAAAGCGGGCGTGTCCGCCAGCGTAGGAACTACTCCACTTCCTCTGCTCGGATAGTCGCCGATTACAGCACTACTTTTCGTTGCGAGATCCACACGCGAATTAGTCTAGAACTTAGCTGCGGGTCTTGCAACGAAAAGTAGTACTGTAGTCGTCGACTGATCTGGCAGAGGTGAAGTCGTTCACACGCTGGCCCCGCGGAAGTTGACCGTCAAGGTGTTGTCGGCATCACTGAAGAAATTCGCTCTGAATTATATCTATGAACGCGTTTGGCGCAGTGGTCAGAGGTGTCTGCGACGCGCACGTGGTCAATCGATCGATGTCGATGGTCAATAATCCGATTCCGCGCTGAGGGTGCTCCAAACCCTCCATCCCTTCGGGGTCCACAAATCGGTACCAGATTTGTCTGGAAGGGCAGCAGCACTTAAGTGCTAC